TATATTGGGGGTATTTAACCCCATACCCTCCTTTACTACTAATTCAACACTGAGCAGGAAAATGGGTACGATAAAAACTATTCTCTTTTATTGTTATTTTCTTAGATGTGGCTGCACTCTTCTAATGTCAGTGTGAAACCATGGTTGAATCAACGGTTCTGTATTCACAATGTGCGTATACATATATAAGTGCGTGATAATTATTAAAACTTACTTAATTTACTAAAAATACATCATAAATGTAAAAAGTATGTTTACATTTCATTGTGGGGGTTTTAATAGGCGCGTTCCTTATCTCCCAGAAATAGTCAGAAAAAGTCTGAAGTAGTCAGATTTAGTCAAAAAAGCGTTCCTTAACTCGGAAATGACAGCAAAAATGAGAGAGCAACAGTCAGTGAGAGCGACTCTCATCAGTCCGAAGTAGTCAGCAGAATTTTTTCCGGCAAAATCCTGAAAAGTGTCAAACTCAACTGAATTTAAATTAACGGAAATTAAAGAATACGCAAAAAGTGANGTAGTTTGCTTCCCGATATAAACTTTGGAGCGAATTGAGATTTGACGTTTTGACCATGATGATGATGATGTTGTTCAGGTTGTTGTTCATGTAATCTTGCTACCGCCTTATATAGATTTCCTTGGTTCAAAAGTATCGATGCTTAAATTACTTAGTATCGAGCGATAAGTATCGAGTATGTAGTTGTATCGTTTCATTTCTAAGTTTCCCTATTGGCCACCTCATCTAAGAGTCTAAATAAAAATTTTCCAGGCATGCTCTTAAGATTATTTCTAGTACTTTCTGCATTTCACTTAATAAATGGAGTAATGTTCAACATTAAGCCGAACTCCCAAAAATGTCTAAAAGAAGACATTCAGCCAAACCAATTGGTAAAAGGCGAATATGAAGTGTCTAATATACCCGGCCAGATAGTTGACTACATCGTAAGTTGAGAAAGCATTTATAATTTCGTGTCTCTACCTACTGCGTGTTATACAATTTCAGGCTCGAGATACCAAGGGACACATTTTGTCGAAGGGAGATCACATAACAAAGGGGAAATTCACATTTATGTCGGAAGTTTATGATACATACGAGATTTGTTTTATTTCGAAAGTACCACCGCGTAAGTTGAACATAATATTAAAGTCTAATGTATTTTAAACCAAGGTATTGTAGATCAAAGAGGTATTGAACAGGAAGTCAACTTTAATACTAAAAAGGGTGTGGAAACGAGGAACTACGAAGGAGTAAGTAAAAAATTATATTATGTGGGAGGTTGGGTTTTACTCTGGCATCCCCCGGAACTCGGCGAATATTTTCCGGGTTGTCTTTAGTGTGCACACATGTGTGTGTTTCAGCAAAACTATAACGAATTTTCTCATGAAACTTTACGAGGATGCTAAGAAGCAGATATGTTTATATAAATCCTCACTTTTTTAAACGTAGTATTGGGAAATGTTTAGTAGCTGACCAATCGTTTTTGGGGTTGCGGGCTGAGATGGGGGGATGGCACCCCCCGCCCCCCACAAGAAAGGCGGCAGTCCCCACTTTCTTAAAAGGCGTACCCCCCTTTGGGCACGTCCCACAGGCCCCTAGGGAACCGTTTGAAAANCACTTTTTTAAACGTAGTATTGGGAAATGTTTAGTAGCTGACCAATCGTTTTTGGGGTTGCGGGCTGAGATGGGGGGATGGCACCCCCGCCCCCCACAAGAAAGGCGGCAGTCCCCACTTTCTTAAAAGGCGTACCCCCCTTTGGGCACGTCCCACAGGCCCCTAGGGAACCGTTTGAAAAGGGGGAAAAACGGAATTTTCTTAGGCAAACAGCAGTTTGAAGTGGAATATGACATTCCCACGACAGCCGGTTCTACGTACCGGAATGACTCGGGTTTTACGCGACCAAGGGCTGTTGTTTCGGCGATCTAACCCCGTTTAGGTCGGCGAAGTATCTCAGAAGTTGTCCGTCCATAGGGCTACATTCACTACGTATTCTCCTACTCTGGGCTGGCATCGAGTCAAACCCAGGGCCAGAAAACCTACACCTGCTGTGTATGCCGGAGACGATTACACCACAACTCCACCTCAGTCAAGTGTAATGCCTGCGAGGGGTGGAGTCACCTCAGAGTCTGCTCGGGACTACGGACACATAGACAGTGGACCACGTCGTACGTGGCCCCCTGTTGCTCAAACAGAGCAGCCTNCCACAGTCACTACAAACCACACAATCTGCACGGTATGTCAGACCAGGATATTCCGTAATGTGACATCA